GCGATTTTTTATTACTTATTTGATAGGCATCGAGTTACTATAATATGACTTCATGTAGGCTATGCTTTCTAATGTTGACACCAGCTTCCAAAACCAAAACATTTTGAATAAAGCAAGAAACAAAGAGTATGCAATGTAACCATCTAATTTATTTTCAAATCCTCATTCTTGAAAGTGAAATTTTATATTTTGGAAATTTTGTATGAAATCTGTCAACCACGTTGTTATGGTCGAGGTTGCTTCACCTATCACGATGTATTCCAACCATCATGGGGCTATTTAAATGAGCATTTGTCATAACAGAACGCAAATTATTTTTAATTAGTCTCATTGAATTATTATTATTATTATTATTATTATTATTATTATTATTATTATTATTATTGTTATTATGGTTGTTGTTGTGATGAAAAGTTAACACAAACGATATGGTGGCTAAACAAATATTACATGTAAATTTTTTTTATTTGTTTGTTCCCCGACAAAATTGATCGTCTTCCCCGACGGGGGGGCTATGCTTCCCCGACGGGGGGGGGGGCGCTATAGCCCCCCAGCCCCCCACCCCTGGTAGTGGATAAACATTCTCTTTCCCATCCTTCTCCTCCTTCTTCCCTCCTTCTTTTTTGGCATTTACGATCATACAAAAATCTCCAGACATTATATATTTTTCGCCAAAAAGTCGCCCCCCCCCGGTCCCCCCGCTTCCGCCGGCCATGATAGACAGCTAGGTGTTCACTCTTAAATATTTTCACTGAGAATGCACTCTCAGAACTTCTCAAGTGTGCCTAAGGTCTAGGCTTATTACAGAAGAGTTTATCATGCTTTGAACTAAAATATGAAGATACTTTTTTCTTGCTAATTAGGCCGAACAGTCTTGAAAAATACCATTTTTAGTAGAGCTCATGCCAGTAGCTGTTACGCCACTGGTCAGACTCTAAAATGTCTTTACTCAGTAAAACTGTTTTGTAAGTTCAAGCCTTGCAACATTTAAACATAATCATAAGGATTCCTACTGGAAAAATACCTTCTTTATTCAAAAATTTAAAGTACTGTGTAAATAAATGATAATTTAGAACAGTCGTATCTAGCACGGTACCCGATAGAAGCTACGCTTAATGAGCTTCGGTATTTGCGTGTTAGCAATTTGAATGTAAATGGATAAAGATTGGTTTATATGTTATAAGTTTTCCTGTATGATGTAAACAGTAGGCCTAATTATTGATTTGTGTCAGAAAATAATAATAATAACAATAATAATAATAATAAATAATAATAATAATAAATGCCAGGATGTAATCAATATATATCTTTAATTATAAAACTTGATAATTCACAGGTGATGGGCCAGACTGCCAAGTGAATACTGAAGACTGTCAACAATTTGGATTCAAGTATTTATGTAGTGATGCTGCTGGCGGCAGCAACAGTGAAGACGTTTGTGAGTCTGGCTACAAAGTTCTTTGCGCTCCACCATCCACCAAAGGTTTAGCATCCCCAACTCCATCAAACCATTTTAAAACAGTATCGTTGAACGCACTGGAACTTGACTTTGAGTACAGCATTCTGTTTGTGAACTTCCACCAATACATAGGACAAAGGGAACGCACATGCAGAATTCCTGATATCCTTGCCCAACTTCAACCTGATGTAGATGCAATTGTTTTTCAGGAGATATTTGTTGGTGGTTGTTTTCCTGACACACTAGATATCCGAGAATTGTTAAGCTATTATGGGTTTAAGTATAATACTCCAACAGTAGGAATAAACGATAATTCTTTTCTTAATTTTGAAAACGGTGGCGTTTTTATTGCTTCTCGCTGGCCCATTGAAGAGTATAAAGAGATGATATTTGATGCAGCAGACTTCACAACTGCCGACAACTATGCATCAAAAGGTGTGATGTATGCTAGGATATCAAAATTGGTTGAAGAAAAATCATGTATGTACAATTTATTTGGAACACATATGCAATCGCAAGAGGGGCAAAGTAGAGAAAATGTTCGCGAGGCACAAGCGATAGAGATTCTTCGATTTGTTGAAGAACTTGGAATCCCAAGCTCAGAAGCAGTGATAATAGCAGGTGACTTTAATGCCAATCTTAATGGTTCCCCGGACCATGCCAGGGCAGTGATTTCTAACATGGGCACTGTTGCACCCACAATCACAGGCTCTCTTACAACAACATTTGATATTACAGAAAATAACCTTATTAGTATTGGTGCGGAAGCACATCAATGGTTAGATTATGTTGTGTATAGTGGTTTGTATCTGCAACCTCTACAGGCATCTCTGGAGGCATTTAAAGTTCATGTTGCTGAACCATTTCTGATATGCACTGATGCCGGTACTGGGGAGTATGTTCACCCTCTCAGTGCTGACTGTCATGAAGCATTATCAACTAAGTTCTTATCTGATCATTACGGAGTTGCTGGGACATTTATATTTCCAACAGATAAAATGTCTTAATTAAAAGTCTACGGCCAATTAGATAAAAAGATTAGGAATTATTTGAATGTTTTTTTGTTTTCTAAACAAAATCTTATTAACACTGTTAATTCCATATGATACTTTTATTGAAGCCAAATTTATTCTTTACATTTTAAATTTATCTAGGTACATTGCAGGATATATGATTAAAAAATAAGTAGTCAGTTAAAACATTAAAATAACTTTAAATGATGCATATATATGCTTACATTTTGTAATTTATTAATAACAATATTCCATACAATTTGTCATATATAACTTAGGGCCCGTTCGAGCAAAAAACGCCAACCGTATTCCGTTTATTTCACCGGGTAATCGCGCTGAGCACTCAGCGGGGGGTCAATCGTTCGAGCAAGTTTTAGCTCACGGTAAATACGTGTAACGAAACTACTCCGGAAGTAAATTTCAACTTATCCCATGGTCAACCCATTCTTTGTTTACTTGCTACTGCTGCTATAACCAAGGAGGTATACCTCCTTGCGGCCCACGTACACACAGTGCAGCACGGTGGAACGATAATGTAGCTCAATAACTTATAATGGCTGCTTTAAAATCTGTATGTAGGCTAGTTTATTCAAGTTTATTTCTCCAAATAATGGTAAATCTAAAAATCAATTGCGTAGCTATGCTAATAAATTTAGATTTTGTCGTGCATGTGTAAGGAGGCAAAGGAGAGCTGCAACCACGTCTGGGCCGTATCTTATCGCGCTGGGCTGTGGGCAAAACATTTGGAAAAACAATTAAGCCTCCATGGTCATTCCATACACGGCATTCTACCCAGCAAATTTGGTGGTCAAAATTGTCGTGGATAATCCAGATGGTAAGGTAATTAGACTAGTGTCCGAGCGGTTTTAGAAAGTGTGTACCGGTGAATTAACTGGCAAATCGCACGGATATTTTTTCACTCGAACGGGCCCTTACTGTACTATCAGCAAAAACAAATAAAACCTTAATTTTCAACTAAAATACTGGTGTTATGCAAAATACACACATAGCTTATTAAGCCAGTACATTCAGAAGTAACATATTGTACTGCACTCATGAAACAATGTATCAGTGCTTGCTTATGTATAATATACTTTTATAAATATTTGTATTATTATCTATTATTATTTCTAATTCAAGAAATAAAATGTTGACAGTTATAAAAACAAATGAAAAACAAAGAAAAGAATGACATCGTGATCATAATGGTTCCATGCTTTACATTGTTTTTAAGAAATTATTAAAATCTTCTACAGAAGTCTTCGCAATTTGTTGGCAGAAGATTTTATCTGGTCCTTCTACAAGTTTCTTTAAGGAGATGTAGTGTGGTTTGCTGGGATCATATTGGGCAAGACCAATCTTCCTCAAATACTACAAAAAATAGAAATGAAATGGAAAAAAAACTGAAAATTTGTGGCAATGATGTCAATACGAACAATATTTTCTAACTAGCAAACATTTAAAAATGCATTAAAATAAATAATTAAAAATGATAAAAGTTTGAAACCAATAAAATATTTTTAGTCAAGGTGTAATCCAGTCAGAGTTGAGAATGCTTGTGATGTGGTATAACAACCCACCAACTCACCCTCCCCAACACTTGTTTACTCCCTGTTGGCAAATGTTTGGAGCCATCACTGCCGGGAAGTACAACATTCAAATTCACAATTTTGTAAGTGTTCTCAATGGGATAAAATCTCAATAATGGACGTCACTACTATCAACATTTGGATGCAGATTGATAACAAATGAAATGATCCTGGACAGTGCATCCAAGTTCTAAAGCATACATTTTGTATGCTTTACAACTCTGCTTTTTGTTCCACATATTAATGTATGGATTTCATGCTCTCTAGTATTTTAAAAATAACTCCTTGTACAAACCATATCTCTCTCCTTAATAATGAACAATCGAGTCCTTAAGACTTCGGGAAAATGAACCAACATGCTGTGAGGTATGCCCATGTCATTATGTATGTAATCAAAGGAATTCATCAAATTATTCTTTCCTGAAATAAAAAAAATGTAAAAAATTAAATTTTTTTTTGTCAAATTCTAACTAAATATTTAAAAATTATTCTGTGACATTATTAATAAATAGAAGCTATTCACTCCAACAGTTGAAATAATTCAATTTGCTTATTATTCATGTTTACATCAGACATTCCACAATGTCTGTTGCATTTTCTGCAGTTTTTATACAATATAAATAATAATCTTGATATATTATCTGAGGGAACTATATAAATGATATGTTTTGATATTAATGGATTTTCTTAATACAGTACTTTTATTACAGTATATGGAATTTTTATTTTGTTTATTAATATTTTTAAAATGTTACATTCTTAAGGGTATATAAGATAAATAATTTTATACTGAAATACATTTAGCACCTAAAGGATGAACTGTATCGCCTTGCATACAATCTCAACAGAGATATAAATACATAAATTGTTTAGAATAAATTTTCTGCATATAAATAAAAAATAGAATATATCAGAAAATGCTTATTTCTTGTTTTTATAACTTTAAACCAATTCAAAATATTGATATGCCCCAATTTCCCATCAGCCATACTTTACAAAAAGCAATGAGTGCATATTTGTTTTCAAAGTTGTGAATCAGAAAATTATATTACTGCAAACGTTAGATATTTTCAATCACTAACATAATGTCTCACTTCAATACAGTACTTCAAAATTATTTTGTTCATTACCATTAAGAAGCAACTTGGGCTGCTTTATTATCATTTCTTTCATTGCTGGCTTTGAAAAGCCAAGTTGATTATGTATCACATACATATTCTCTTGTATTCTAGAAATCTTGCGAGTCACCAACTGTTAGGAGAAAATAAACAATCCCAAAAATATTTGTACCCACTATAATTACGATATATTATAACAAAATCATAACATAAATATATTGATTATAAATTTTATAACAGAACTTAGCAAGAGACAGAGTGACACGGCAGAATTATTAATATGCCAAGGCTTTTTTTAACTGGACAAATAGCTAAGACATTGATCATAAAAAAATTCACCATACATCTAAAGATGGTATTAATGTATTGATAATAGTAGTGGACGTAGTGTTGTATAGACACCGGTTGCCATGTAACGTCTGAGATTAGTGCTGACAATTTATATTACAGCATTAATTTGCAGACAGTGGATATAATAATATTATATACAGTACCCCATATACATAGATTCTAGGCATCTGATTGGTTAAGAAGCGGGCAATAGAAAGTACCATTCCCCTAAAAAAGTACTATTCCCTGAAAATTAGTACTTTTCTGCCCTGTCCCGTGGTACAAACTCTAGGCCCCCACCATTGCGCTGATGGTGGAGGGGACTGTGACCTCTACGATGAAAGAGATTGGCCCTTGACCACACCATGGATCAGGGAGTAGACAATAAACAATAATTATGGAGGCTGCTCCTGGATGAAGGACTAGGCTAGCCTAGGCCTATACTTCTTGACAAAGCCGATAGCAAAAGCACCAAAAGATAAATTAAATATTGCAGGACAATCGGTGCTGTTGAAATTGAGGAAATGAGCAAAGAAGAGGTATACACACTCTTTGATCGCCTAGGCCCTAAGCTAGGAAACAAGTACTTTTTTAGACCTTGTAGAATCTATGTAGTAGGTATATAAAACAAATACTGACTGCTCCAGATTTGGAGAACGGTGAAATCTATTGCCCCTTGGTGATGTGGAGACCGTAGCCTATGATCTCCACATCACCTCGGGGCAATGGATTTCTCCATTCCCCTCATGAGCAGTCAATATTTATATACTATATTTAAGGGGTATAGCATGCACTAACTATTATTGTCATTAATTAATGCTTTGGTCTGATATTCAGACTATAAATTGAGTGGTCAAGTATGTACATATTTTGTGTTATATACCTCATATATAGATTCTAGTCAACTGATTGGTTAAGAAGCGGGAAATAAACAGTACTATTCCCCTGAAAAATACTACTTATTTGACCTGTCACATGGTGCAAACTCTAAGCCCACCATATTGCTGACGGTAGAGGGGACTGTCACAGATCAGCAAGTAGATGGGTTGAAATTAAGTAAATGAGCAAAGAAGAGCTAGACACACTCTTTGATCGTCTATGGTGATGCGGAGACTGTAGCCTATCTAAGATAGGCTACGATCTCCACATCACCTCGGGGCAATAAATTTCACCATTCCTCTCATGAGCAGTCAATATTTGTATACTACACTACTTTGCAAAATACCTGTGGACATCGTGTTATTACAGTTCGTACTTCATCTCCAGCCAGCCAGAACTCCTTCTGGAAATAACCTAGCTTCCTGTCTACACTTTCTGTCTAGAAGAGTAGAATAATTATGCAATATTTAGAAGGCAAAATAAAAGGAATCCACAAAGCTGTTAAGAATGATAGTTGGATCTCAGTTGTGATACAAAAAAGGATCTGTGAGTGCAAAAATGTTGCCCAACCAGATTCAAACCTGGAACCTTCTGCTATTTTTGCAGACTTCACACCCTTTTGCAGATACAGTAGATCAACTCTAGTTTTTGACACACTCTGAATAACATTAACAGAGATCAATAAAATACAGCTCAACATCTCCAGCATTTTAAAGGACAAGACAGAATCTCAAATAAGACACTTGGTATAATAAAGAAATAAACTCTAAACTGTCTTGCAGTAATGATTTGCTTTATAATTAAACATGGTAAAACTTATAACAAATTGATTCTATTTAATAATCCAGATGTTATATATATTATATTTCCTTCAACTACTACACTTGCCACTTAAAGGTTGGAATGATGCCTTATAAACCAAGTCTCTTATTGGGGCCTGGGGCTGGGAGTGAAGTTGGCTTTTTAATTTCTTGCTGTCACAAGAATTTAACCCAAGACGTTGGGATTAGAAGGCAATCATCTTAACCACTAAGCTATTTAACTCCACTCCTCAGTATAGTGATAAAATAATGTATAAACCAAATAAACATATGAAGCTTTTGAAATAAGTCTACTTATAATAACTTACTGAAAAACACAAAAAGTAGGGGGCTCTGTTGACAATCATAGCTATAGCCTCATCAGTGAATTTCTTGGATTTAAGATACATCACTCGCGTCTCAAGAGATTTTAAGTCTTCGCCTAAAATATGTGGATTTTTTGTGAGGAAAGTTCCTAAATGATCACTGGTTACACCAAGATGATGAAGCAATGCTATCTTATCTTTAACATCAACATCAAAGTCCATCTTCAGAATCATTTCTGCTGCACCCTGTCTTTTCTGCACTTTGTGGAGGTCAACTCCAAGTTCTAACAATTTTTGTAAGGTTGGCGACTGCTGTATGAATGACTGCAATGTTAATGATTGTGAAGGGAGAGCTGGTTTGGTATATGACTCTAGAATTCTAGGTGTTCCAGACTCAGCAAGAATATCAACATTCGTATCATCCTCAAATGGTTGAATACCCATCTTGTCTGTGGCTACTAATAATTGTGTGGTATCTGAATCACTATGCTCTTCTATTAAAACAGTTCCCTCTATCTTGGATTCTAAAACATTGCTTTCATCCCCTCTGTTGCTGTTTGGCTCAATTAAGTTCGACCTATCAAGCGGTATTGTTTTATCGTTTACATCACAAGATGAAGAAATAGAACATGCTCTGCTTGGAAGCACAAAGTGTATATGCATTAAATTTCTCCGCTGGTAGTTCCAGAGTTTTGATGAAGGCTTCATGTGACTTGAAGTGACCACTCTGATCAGACATCGGCAAAACACTGAAATTGCTGCACCAGACATCTTGATTCACCTGTTGTAAAATTAAAATAAATCAATTATGCACAGTGTATTTGGAAACCGTAAAAGTAAACATGCTAGCTTATAATTTAGAGTAATTTGCTGATTTTGCTATGAACCTTCTTTAGAAAAAGAGGCCTTGTGACAATACCTCAGTAAACAAATGTTTAGATGCAATTTCATTTAAGAGGATCAGAACATAGAAGACATTAAATTGAAGTTTCAACAAATTTTGTAATTTAATATGGTCATCAAGCCTGTGGTTAGACGTTGGGCTTTCAATCAGAAGGTCAGGAGTTCAAGACCGATATCCATCACACTATGTCTTGAGCAGTTCTTCCATAATTGGATACTTGTGCTATATACTGTAAACCTATGACATAATAATAATAATGACAAAAACAAAAGGAACCAAAAACTTTTAGAGTTCCAAACTTGCTCAATGTTAAATCCTGTTGTGGTGCATTTAACTACAGTACTATAATGTAGTTTAACTTTGTGATTACAGCTCCCCCTTTAATTAAAGACCACTAAAATTAAATATACCGCCTCCAATTAAAGAACAATTTTCTGTACAGTAGCTGACATGAGTTTAAACGATGTAAGAAACCATCTTTTGTCTTGTCATCCTCCTACCCATTGAGAGACCTATCTTACTGTATATTCAAACCAGATGAAACTTATTCCAACATAAAATATTAGATTAGCTTTAAAATTATTCTCATATGAAACCACCACCACCCTGGCTCCCCCACCCCCCCTTTTTGGTCCTCTCCTATACTCAAATTAGTATAACAATTTGTCCACCTTTGCACACAATGGCCTATCTGGAATGTGTAACATTATGCATACACTGCTCGCACTGGGAATTCTACATTTTCAGTCTGAAATTACCGGAGAACATTGTCGAAAGTGTTTGTTTTTTTAATATCCAATCAGGTACGTTGTTTTACCTCAGAAACATGTCAGGCATGGTATTGTTGCAAGTGCGACATATTTTTAAAAATTGATCACGTCTAGGGCAATCATGCACTATCCAGCTTGCGCATACCTTGTTGTTACGACTATGATATGAAAACACCATCAACTAGTTGATTTTTCTGTGCCAAACACCATCAGCTCAAAACAATTTTTGAATACCATTCTATGGCAACACAATGTACAGTATCTTCATCATAGATACACTGTTTTGCACCATATCTTGCAGTTACGTTACCACGGAAAATCACTAGATTTTAAGCATTATGCTTAAAGATAGGCTATCTCCAAAATGACTCATTGTTGAGACCTGATATTTTCACAGGTATAATTCAGAATGTTAAAATACTCCCGAATGATCTCAAAATCAACAAAAAAGTCAGTTGCGTTCTTTTACCTCGGACAGCTGTGAGTGCACAGTTCAGAGAGAAGAGGCCTAGGCCTAGTTAGGTTTTGCTGTGATGTTATTGTTGTGCGCAGTTTGTTCCGTTTGCTCATTTTGAGTTCCTGATGACAGATGTTGATTCAAAGTCGTTTCAAACCAGGGCAGTACTGTAGTTACGCTTCTGTGCACCTATTTTACTAGCAATTTCCCGCGCAAATCTGAGCTGGTTTTTTTCTAGGCTACCCATATACAGTATGGATCTACTGTGTAACTGTAGCTAGGGCTAGGCCTAGTAGGTAGGCTGTCTGTAAGTATACACCACAGGGCTAGGCTAAGCTTATTAGGCCTAAATTAAAATTGGTTAGGCCTATGCAGAAAGTGTATGCCTAGATATTACTCTTACACTACCAATTATCAATAGTACTGGTACGTAAAAAAAAAGCGCCCGTATAAAAAAAGACTCTAAAGTACAACATTAGAAATGTTTTTACTTGCCAAACAAAACATGTCAAAACAACAAACACGTGTGCAGCGACGACGGGGTTTGCTTCAGATAAATACCGCCCTCATGAACGCAGAACATTTCCTTCTTGCATGTTTCTTCATGTTTACCAAAAAAATACGGCAAAACAAAGGTGTAACAGAGACTGTCCGCTACTGTGGCCCCATGACCATTACCATGGCAATAGTTTGCGAATGATATCCTTAATATTAATGTACGTCTAGGCTATTATTATTTATATTATTATCTTGTTCTCTATAGACTATGCCTAGGCCTAGGCCCTATGTGAGGCTAGGCCTAGGCTAGAACTAGAGGCCTAGTTGGACGGCTCTTGGTTGGACCTGGCCAGGCTAGGCGTAGGCCTAGAGTATATAGGCCTAGCCTAGGCCTAGTAGTAGTAGGCAAGGCCCTACTACTACTAGGGGCCTAGGCCTACTAGGGACCTGGCCTAGTAGTAGGCCTAGCTAGGGGCCTACTTAATTAAGGCTAGGCTAGGCCACTAGCTTGTCCTTACTACTACTAGTATTTAAAAAGGCCACTCAGCGTCGTACAACGCAGCCCGACGCGATTTATCATCGGGGACAGTCTTAAGCTAGTGATGTAAAAAAATTTAAGCCATCATGAGAAATAAATATGTTTAATATTCTACGACACAACTTCCCCCGACGCAAACCATCATGTTTGCGTTTAACTCACACAGACCTGACGCGACAACAAATCGTGTCGGGTTGTGTCGTACGACACTGTCTGAGTTCGCCTTTACTAGCACAAGGCTAGGCCCCTAGGCCAGGCCTACCCTATGGTATGGCCCTGTACTAGTCTATGGGCCTAGCGTGGGGAGGTGGGATGGCCTAGGATGTGTAGTAAGGCCTGCGTGGTGAGTGTATCCTCCGTGCAAACAAAAATTTGGCTTAGAAATTCGTCCGCGCATTTCGAAAGATAATGGCTGATTTCGACACAGGTTTTGGCGAAACTTAGCCTTTGACCAATGTTAATATAAACCAATGAATGTAATTATGCAGCAATAAAGATTTCTGTGCACATGAGGAGATAGGGAGACCGTGGCATCAGCGGGAACTAGCTGCAGACCTAGCCAGGCCTCGGCCGTAAACACTTTTGAATATTGAATTGTGACAAAACATTTATAAAAACAATTAAGGTTTATTTATTGTAACCTCCGGCTCCAAGGCTATCCCATACACAGTATTTTGCCCAGCAATTTGGTGGTCAAAATTTTCCTGGATAATCTAGTTTGTAATTTAAGGTAACTAGGTGAGTTTCCGACTGGTTTTAGAAAAGTAAATACTGGTAAATCGCACCAATATTTTTTTGCTCGAACGGGCCCCTAGAAATACGTCTGCACATTTTGGAAAATAAGGGCTGATTTTCATGCAGATTTTTTGCCGAAAATTTGACTTAATCTTATATATATTTTATATATGTATTATTATGCAGTAATTATGATTCTGCGCACTTTTATGATTCAACCGTGACCCCAGGTCCTAGCGACCATGATGGCGTACCTTTAATCATTATTAGCACCAAACCTAGAATAATCATAACAACTTTCAAAGTAACAAGATCTGCTTACAGGAGATATGTTAATGTCTGGTTTCTGACTCGCACAAAATTTGTGGTGCTTCGTTTAAAAAATTGAAGTTAGCCAATGTTCGCATACCCACCTTGAAAGAAGATGGTAAACTGGAGTCCCAACAACAGGGCTAAAGCTGAAATTTTAAACAAGCAACTTAGGTCCTTGTTCACTAAAGAAAACCTGAACTTCCTACAGTAGTATGCCTGAGCTTGATACTTCCACCATCCCTTCAATTGAAGGCATCACTAAACTGTTGCATGATCTGAACCCGAGTAAAGCATCTGGACCAGATAATATCCCCGCTATTATGTACAGTATCATTTTGATAAGTTCTTAATATTGACTGATAAACAGGATGGTTTTAAGTAAGTAAACTCTCATTGTAAAAGTCCATTAATCTTCACCATCCTTGACCTCACTAAATGTCTTGATAAAAAATCCGAAATTGATATGGCCATCATCGATTTTTCCAAAGCTGTTGACAGTGTCCCACAAAATCGATTCTTATTTAAACTTAACCGCCTTGGCATTAAAAACCAAACACTCAGGTGGATATCCAGTTTTCTCACTGGATAACACTGGAGTCCCCGGAAATCTGGGTTGCCTCCCACACTCCCGCAAGCAAGCCGGAATCTCACGGAAACTAGCCCATCTTCGACAAATTTATTATATCTGTGTGTTTTTACTACTTTTTTAACCTCTTTTTTTTATCAGTGGTCTCACAGAAGTCAGTGTTGATGTGTATTACCATATGCAGTAAAATGAAATTACAGTAGAGGTTAAAGGTCGGACCTCCCGGAAGTGACCTCTGCCTCAGATGATTAGTTTAATTATCCAAAACCTACTAAAATCTATAACAAAGTTTGGGAGAATATTAAATCAGAGGATGTTCTTTCACTCATGGATCCATGAAACAACACAATACAACACAGGCTGCACATGACACAAGACTTGTCGTTTAGTAGTTTGTGTGTACTGTATACCGCCCAATGCTCACTCTTTGGTTAAAAATGACTTCAGCATTCAGTCTGCCACGCTGAAATCGGTCCCGGCCTAAGAAGGTCCGGCAGACTTATTTTGGGGCCTGGACCAATTTCAGCATGACAGGCCTACTGATAGGTTCTTAAATAGGAATTTTTACAGTTGAATTGTTTTGAATTTAATATCTGTTTTTTATTCCATAGATTGATATGCTTGATAAGATCCAATCATTCAAGTAATGATGATGCCTGGTAGGAATGATTAAAATTGGAACTTTTTTTAGCATCTGGTGTCCAACAATCCCAATCATTTCTGAGCACACCATATCATTCCAAGAAAGCTGATATATGAACAGAAATACTGTAATGAAAGATGCAGATAAACTTATTCAGTATGTGAAGAAAGGTGCATTGCACAAAGTAAAGCGACATCTTCGAAGATGGAAAAAGGAAGGGAAGATTGTCCAGGATGTGAAAACTGGCAACGGACGCACTTTACTACACCTTGCTTGTTACCATGGTGAAGATGCTATCGCCAGGGTGTTGTTGCGGACTGGATGTGCAGCCAATACTGTTGATAAAGATGGAAACACTCCTCTACATCTGGCATTAAATCGTGTCCTAGAGGGTAATATTCATTGTAAGTCTTTTAAACAATTTTAAACTGGTTATTATAGTGTGTCGTGTTGTCAAGATACAAAAATGTACTGAATTCATTTCATTCATTCATATATTTATTTGACCAAAAACTGAATACATAATCAAACAAGAATTGATTGGTAATATGAGTCTGCAATAGCAGAAGTAGTGGCAGTCTGGCCCCTGTTGTCTGACGCCACAACAAGGTCGTCAGACCAAAAAAAATATTAAATTACCTATCCATATAACATTATTTGATTGCCATACTGTAAGCCATACAAACACACTACCAGTAAACCTTACGAGGGATTTTATTCCAGGACCCTGACCAAGGCTAGACGGCCTCTTTGTTCTCTGTGTCAGCAAATTTCTGGAGCCGCCACTGAGTAGAAGTCTCTATAACCAGACATTCATTTAAAGTTAATTTATATTTCTCTTAACTTTTCTAGTGATGTTTGATTTAGTTGAACCATTACTTCAAACTGCCACCTCAGATGATATCATACAAGGTCAGCGTAATGATGTAGGAGTTACACCAGCATTGTTACTTAAACAGGCACGAAATTATGTAGCTGAGCGCACAAAGGTAATTTACTTGACAGCCACAATTTTAAAACCTAATGTAAACCATACATATTTTTCAAATATAATTATTATCTGGTTTTTAGTTGATATGATATTGATGATTCTTCTTAATAATACATTGAGCACTTGACCTATTTTCCTATTGTGGACAAATATAGCTGATTTTGAATCTTACTGATTTATTACAGCCTTCAAGCTCGCATCATGCATCATGGCATGACGAAGAGAAAGATGAAGACAAGGACTGGAATGAAAAGCTAGCCTCGGAGTGGGCCTATGAGAATGAGGAAGTGCATGGGCACAGTTATTGGACTAGTAGGTTGTTTACTAATATTGTTTTTTTAATTTTTTTAAAACTTTATTTATTGAGGCACACAACACATGCACCAAGGATGGTCAATAGCAATATTCATGACTGTCCTACTTGTAGGTGACAATCCCTTTCACAAGACAAACATATATATGATGCTTTACACAAACTAAATCTCAATATGAGGTTTAGAGAGTGTTGTTGTGTTTTGTTCGTGAGAAAAATTCCTGCTACATTGACAGGAATTGAACCCAGGACCCTGGGATTGGAAGGCAAGCATCTTAACCACCAATCTATTCAACTCCACTCTAACTACTCATAGATTATGGACATAGCTACATTGCCACTGAAAGGGGAGGTGTAAGAGTGGGGTAATTATGAATTATCCTAGTTTTCTCCTTGTGTTTATTAATCAGGCTCCTAAATTTGTTGCAATTCTGCCATATTTAATTTAGTAATTTTTAAAATGAATTTAATATTTTAAATTATATTAAATGGTTCTCTCTGTTTGTTTGCAAACCACTTCATAAAAAGTTTGTTTTCACCAAGAGAAAAGGTATAAAAAATAGCATTTGAATGATTTCTTGGAGTGTATTTCATCTGTGTAATGCTAAATATGTAAGACAAAAAAACACTACCAATATAGCCTTAGATTAGACACCTGAACTGACATGCCTACATTTTGAGTCAATATTAAATGATTTCTTTTTTCTCTCTCTCTCTCTCTTTCCCTTCTCTAAGGCTTTAATGGCAATGATGAAAAGCACTGTACAGAAACCTATGATGATTGGTCAGAAAGAATCTCTACAGAATACCATGCAAAACTACGAAGTTCTAACACATCTCATCATAAAAAAGCTAAGAAAACAAAGGATAAATCAAAAGCAAATGAAAAATTATTAAGTGACCTTCAAAAAGAACATGAAAAATACCAACAAAGACAAACTGACAAAAGACTTAAAAGAAAGAAAGAGGAATACCTAACAATAGCAGATCGTTTCTTCAGCAATAGTAATGACTCTGACATTCTAGGGTATGGTGATATTCCTTGGCCTGGTCACATGAGTAATGTGGATGGGATGTTGAAGGTGCTGCTCCATGGGGTTGAAACTGAGTCGCTTAAGAAGTTTGTGTTATCACAACTGCGATTTTGGCATCCTGATAAATTCCAGCAAAAACTGGGACAGAGATTGCATGCGGAGGATAGCGAACAAATTCTCAAACAAGTTAATGAACTTAGTCAAGGCCTTAACAAATTGATTGAGGACAAAGAATAATTAGGAATTACCATATTTATTAGTTGAAATTATGCCATAGTGTATTAATAAATGTGATTATTTATTAATAATGAGTTGTGGTATATCCTCTTTACCTCTAGTTGTTGAGCAAGTATTCTCATTATAAAGGTAAGGTTATGCAATATAATGGAAAATGATGACGATATGAAAATATATTTACTTTATGTTGTTTTTAGAGATTCTAATTTTGCAAATTTATTGGTTATTTGCATTTAAAAAACAAACAAATGTGGCCGAAATATGGAGTTATTTATAGATACATGGTAGGAATATTGAGTGTTTGAGAGAAGAAAGTCATTCTTCACACACATGGCACATGACTGTTATGCTCACTATAAATGCTCAACCTGCCACACTACTGCGATGCTCACTATTACTGCTCAACCTGCCACGCTACTGTGATGCTCACTATTACTGCTCAGCCTGCCACACTACTGTGATGCTCACTATTACTGCTCAACTCTCCACAATTCGTGTGATGCTCACTACACTGCTCAACCTGCCATGCTAGTGTGATGCTCACTATTACTGCTCAGCCTGCCACACTACTGTGATGCTCACTATTACTGCTCAACTCTCCACAATTCGTGTGATGCTCACTACACTGCTCAACCTGCCATGCTCACTGTGATGCTCACTATTACTGCTCAGCCTGCCACACTACTGTGATGCTCACTATATTGCTCAACCTGTCACACTACCTTGATGCTCACCATTATTGCTCAACATGCCACAATTCTGTGACACTATTACTACTGAACCTGCCACACTGCTGAGATGCTCACTATTACTACTCAACTTGCCACAGTATTGTAATGCTCACTATTACTTCTCAACTTGCCACACTACTGCGATGCTCATGATTACTGCTCAACCTGCCACACTCTGCAATGCTTGTGATTACTCTTAGCCTGCCATACTACTGTGATCTTCACTACCCCCGACAGGGATTAGTACTCCTGACAGTGGAGCCATAGTAAAAGTTGTATGTTGTCATGGCGAGTTAGATTATCTTGACAAGTCGACATACTAAAAATGTTTTGTTGTCATGACGAGATAGGTTATCTTGACAAGTCGCCATGTCGACATGATATGTATATTATGTTGACTTGACAACATAATTATCTTGACAAGTTGTCAAGTCGAATGGCACTTAATCACATAAGGATCACATAATTAAAAGAAATTTTTATTATTCTTTAATCCAAAATTGTCCTGACCGGAGGCTATGTTTCCTTGATGGGATGGCTGTAGCACCCTTAGCAAACAACATAGAAACATTTTTCAAACCACTGGACCACTCGTGGGGAAATTCCTGGCGCCGCCCCTGCTTTTGAATTACTGCTTAACCTGCCATACTACTGTAGGTCAATTCCGCGCGACAGACGGGATATTTGAGAACTTTTTAAACATTAAAACAAGTCTTCTAGTATGTTAAAGAGGCTAGAACCAATTTTAGATATACAGTACTACTGAATATCAACTAACCACCAACTTAAAATACCCATTTCTGAGATTGGTTAGTATTCAATTAATTTTAAACGATGTGTGTGACAGGCCGGACACCATGTTTGACAAAGTTTTTCAAATGCTTATTTATCTTGGTAACAACTGGATCTTTAATACTTTTACATTGTGATTATAGGTATGTGATTATATATAGTAAAAAAAATTATTCAGCAGCCCTCACCCTTCCCCCTTCCGCCTTTTTATATTTGTGTTGGGGTAAATAGAGTGTGACAAACGGGACATACTTTCGTGACAGACAGGACATCGTCTAACAAAAATATTTGTACAATCCATATCACTTTAAAAATTAAAAACAGACACATGACCATATGACCTTCCATTATGCAATGGAAGGTCAGGACGGACCAGTGATAGCACAAGTGAGCTTAGCTGTTGCAAGTGGTCCGGCCAGCGATTTTTTTCGTAGATGCCTAGCTGTAAGACCATGCGGTGTAAATCGAATTATGCGGGAGGTTGATGAGAAATTATGCTCGATTAAGCCTATTTTGTCTAATTTTGGGAGAGGGGAATGCTATGATACCGTCCCAATAATATGGCCTAAAACCACTCTTTTAAAACAACTTGATCAGTAGTTAATACAACAAACTTTAGGGAATTCTCAGACATGTATTTAATGACATTTTATTTTTTTTCTGATATTATTTATATAGATTTCACAAAATGGAGGTGGAGATAATTCGATTGTCTGAAAACCATGACGGCACTAAGGGTATGGCAATGGTTCAGGGGTAAAGCCTACTAGTCACCAGAGCCATTTTCCGGAGTTTAGAGGTTCTAATTCGATTCCATAGAGACATGGTGTATCAACAAATACAATAGAAAACAAATAAGTATACACATCTATTGTACCGTAATACAGTTGGCGTAGGCGGAGGCAGTACAGCCATTGCAAAACACCGGTGGGGCCCAGGGCTATTGCTACTTAAATTTTCCTCTCAGTATAACAGTAGGGTTTAGAGGCCATAATTATTATAGATTATATTCATTACAATTTACCTATTTAACGTACCATCAAACACTGAAAGTAGGATGACTTTTCAACAAAGATTTTTAAAAAAAAAAAAAAAAACAAAAAAAAAAAAAACATGTCATGAGTAGCTTTGTATCTGTTGAATAGAATCAAGGTTATTCTCTTCCATTACGTATTTACGATTATGCTTCGTACGACCAGGGAACGGTGAAGATTCGACGGTACGATGCACTAACATACTTTTTGAAAGCACATTTCTAAAGCAATTGAAATATCGGCACGCTCGTTTTTGTTTGATAGGCCTATTGGTTTAACAATATTGTGCACGTTTTTGAATCACGTAAGTCCGGTCATTATACCCTCTTGCTCACAGAAGAACAGTCAGCCGCCTCCCTTTGTTTATTTTATCGATATGTTATTGGATTCCTGATGATGACATAACTAATGTCGAAATATTGAATCCCGACACGATGGCGTGCATTTCGATACTTGGAGTATGCATTATACTATGTTATTGGATTTTGTTCATATGGTTTATCTGATCTCGTTCCACCAGGGTACAGTTAATTTAACTGTTCCGTGGTTCCACCATTCAAATCTTTTGCCCGTGTCGCGTGCTTCTCATTACTTTACTTTGTCAAAGCCGAAGTGCAGAACCAAGCAATTTGAAAGAACTTTTTCCCAGAGCTGCGGCTTTGTGGAATTCCCTACCTGAGGACTGTTTCACGGAGGAATATATAACCGTACTTGTTTGCTACAGTAGTGAATCTTCATCTCATTCACTCTGAAGTCGTTATATAAATTTTGCATGATTGAGACCTTTTTCTTTTTGTCCTAATTTTGTTACTTTGTATCTAGCCTTTACCTTGAGTAGCTTCTAGCCTTGTATTTGGCGATTTCCATTAAAAACAAAAGAAACAAAACAAAACAACAACAACAACAACAACAACAAAAATAAATAAAACAAAACTTCATGAATACGTTTTACTTCCTTGCAATCAGGTTATTATTGTCAATAATTATACTGAGTATAATAATTGTCAATAATTATAATTTATCGGAGACCAATAGGCCCTAAACGATATGATTTTTTGACTATATTTTGTTTCTTCATATCCTTGAATATGCCTTGGGTTACAGGCACTTGTTTTACTTTATTTATGTTTGCCCAAACAATCAGCGTCGCCGAAAGCTGTCAGCATAGAAACCAAGCTTTGTAGGATTTACACTTTTTTTTTATATATAAGAAACAGTAAAATTTTGCCCAGGGTCAGTATTCTTATTTAAGGCCGATTTCAGGCTCACAATGTTCTTATTTTGTTCTCATTTTTACACACTTTTCAAACATAGAAAATTATTATTTCATAGTCAGTATATTACTTTACTGTATTATAGTGGGTAGTACATAGTAATACCTACTGCAAATAAGGTACAGATAGATTTGTTGGTTTTCAATTTAAAGAAAGTAAAATCCTCATTTGACATTTTACCACAGCCTCAAATTTTAAGAGATTTCAGCCTCATTGTTCTTATAAAATGTGTTCTTATAATATATAAAAAAGTGTTCTTTAATTGTCTGGTTTTTTTTTCATCGTTTGTTTTGTGTGTATAACGTGTGTGTGTATGTGATTATTAGACTGAATAAATTGCATCAATCAACTATTTTAGAAACAAGCAAAAACACAAGAGCGACCGCTCACCGGTCCGCGCGTTAAACTGAGGTTACCATTCATCTTTTAACGCTTCGGGTTGCACCTTTCAGACGAGGCTTTTAGTTGACACTATAAAAACATCCTCCATGCTTAAACACAGTACACAGGGGTGAGTGGTCCAGCGAAGCTCATGAAAATTTTAACAATTTAGGGGTTTTAAAGGCTTATTTAATCGATTTTAGAGTCTACTTATTTGTAGAAAATACATAATTTTTTCCCCCGACGAATTGTGCTTTTTCTCCCTCCTCCCACCCCGCTGGCGCCACCCCTGACAGTACACTGTGGCATAAGTTATTATATTGCTTTTCGGCAAGGGCATAATTGTCATTACTACCACTAACAGAAAAAACATAATGTGTAAAAAAAATAAATAAATACATTGAATTAAAGACGGGATTCAAACTCACGACCTTTGGTTCCTTAGAACACATCGTTAACCTACCGCGCCTTCCATATGCTATGTGGTAATGGCAGTAACGTACATGGGGTCCGCCGTACGCGGACCCAACAAGAAGAAAAAGTGAGGTTCTGGGGTCCGCCGTGCGTCCGCCGAAAAACGTCAAAATATAGACATTGTACATATTTCAGGTATCGTTTTATTATATTGAAAGTAAGGTGACCAATACTCTTTGAGCCATTTGGTCAAAATAGAACTTTCTCTTTCTGGGAAAATGGTTAATCTACTCCCCTTATCCCATTATCACAACCCTCCACCAAGTAGGCCTTTTTCAACTACATATTCCATTATGGTGATCACATGGATGGATAGACATATGTTACGTTTCATTATGACACGAAAATAAATGACATAGTAAAGACAATTGCAGGAAAGTTACGCTATTGACTAGATGAATTATGCTAAACTTAGATGCACGATTTATTATTTTTTTATACAGTATAACTATTTGTTACATTTATAAGTTTTATATATAGGCCTATAAATGTATATGTTACACGTCAATATTATATAAGTGAACTTAGGGAAACTCGCAATGTCTTAAAAATAGTATAAAAAGTTCCAATCCAATTCGGATTTGTGTAAACGAATAGAATTTTTCTCAAATTCCCTTAAAGGAATAGGTAAATTTCTTTAACTGAAATTCTTGATAATTAAACCAAAAGGGATGTAATAAATAATAAAAAAAAAAAAAAAAAAACACCCACCAATTAAAAAATAATTTTGGTTCAATTATCAAGGATTTCAATTCAAGGAATTTACCGGTTTCTTGTTAGGCCCCTAAGGAAAATTGAAAAACATTATATGAAATCGTATAACAAAATTATATGTTTTACTTGTTCGGTGTTCTTCTTGTCCAACTACCCTTTATATATGGAATACGTTTTGTTTGTTTCGATTATCATAATTGTGTTAAATTATAATTGTTCAATTAGTATACGCCTTCCTAATTCCCTCTAACATTGCAAATTTAATTGTTATAGTAACAGCGTAGGCCTCAACGGAGGGTAGAAGCTTTGCCTTCAATTTTTTCCTTCTTTAACAACATCAGTACACGTTGCAGTAGTAGTTCCTTCACTGCCTCCTCGTCATTATCTTCGATTTCGTTTGTGAAAGATGACGTAGTTACCACTTTGGCATTTGTTTGCTGGACTTCAGCAGTTGTCCACCTTGGTCCATCGGTCGTTTGATTTGGCACAGAAGTTGTCAGTTCATGTTCAGAAGTCGTGGGCTCCGACTCGGGGGTAGTTGGATTCGGTTCAATGATTGTTGTCGTTTCTACTTTTACGTCAGTTTCTTCTTTACTCTCAGTTTCTTCTTTACTGTCAGATTCTTCTCCTTTATTCTCTTTCTCATCATTAAAAATTTCAAACAACCACTCGACAACGTCGTAAGCATCATATTTTTTTGTGTCTTCGTTAATGAGTTTGTGATATGCAGTTAACATCTTGACGAGCCTATCGACTTTTGGATCACTCATGCATTGGACAACCACAATGTTATATATGTAATCACGTTCCGATAGTCCGTGTGTAGTTGCGTACCGATACGACTTGAAACAATTGACGATATGTTGAATGTAGTTGTCGTTGGCAGATGACTTGGGAGTCGTTGGTGCCATTGTCGTTGGAGCCATTGTCGTTGGATACTTAGTAGTGCTTATGCCATTAAATAGTGACAGTAACTCTGAGTACAAACTCTTTACTTCCATTTCATACTCCAACTCATCAAGTTCACGCTTCTATAAGATACAATGAATCAGAGAGTATAAGAATAATGGTTTTAACCATATGGTTTATATTAATATTAAATACTACAAGAAATATTCAACTTATTAAATCATGTTCAAAAGATATGAAACATCAATTTCTTAAATGAGAGAGTACGGACGTTTTCTTGTCATAACTGTAAGACTCGTAACAGTGCATGTGGTTAAAATATGTACCAAAACCTGATGAAGAAATGCAATAATTTCTGTTTTCTATTTCTATTTTACTGCAATCAGTGAATAGAATAAACTGTAAGCATATTACACTATCGATACACATCCCTTCATAAGCTTGGTTTTCATACAATTGCTCACCCTATCGGCGACTGTTCGGAAGGTTGAACCTGGTTCAACTTGACCGATTGCGTTTCAGACGAAACAGGGTGCATTGCTAGCCCTACGTAATCGGGAAGGCACCCCGATTCGTCTACAACGCAATCGGCAAAGTTGAACCAGGTTCAACCTTCTCGACAACTGTCGCCGACAGGTGTATGCTACTCCTTCTTCGTAGCAAACCACTATTAGACGTGTTACTAGAAACAAAAATTAATGAACAAAAATGATGGGCATGATTTGAAGTGTCTACCAGAATGATAGTAATAAAAGTCAGCATTTTGATACCGGAGTGATGTTCCACCTGAAGATTAAGGATTTGTTTCCATAGAATCGCTACACTGTCTACTCTACAAACGTTACACTGTGCAATTTTCCCCGTCGCAATCGACAAGGCTCCCCATTTGACCGACCAATGAGCGTCATAAAAACCTGTCGGTGATAGCAAGATTTTATGGAAACAGACCTTATTGACAGCGGTGGTCCAAAAGCGAGGCTTCTAAATGGTATCGTTACTTCTTTTAAATAACAATAAGAATCAAATTATTGATCCTGAAACAATTATCACTCTTTTTCTAGCAATAAAGCCACACTAGATTTTAATTTTACCAGAGCATCCAGAGAGGAACGTTAAGTGGTATTGTATTCAAATCAGAGTCTTACCTGCTTTTGTCAACATTATAAACAAAATTATTGGATCACAGTAATTGTTCTTATTTAAAAGGTAATTTTTCTTTTATTTTGCAAAGATCTTTTTAGTATTAGATATTCAATTTTTTATTATATGGCATTATTTTTGACCGACTTGGGCTTTACAGACTGGATATCATCACCATAGACTGTTAAACTTTTTTATAATCTTGTCATTTGAATAGTTAGTTATGTGAAGTCATCTAGTAATAAATTGTTGACGCCACCTTGCAATCTTTGTAAGCATTTATTTATTCCATTTAGGGTAAGCCCATGAAGTTAAAAACTGATTTCCGAGTATTGTACACTTTATGGTCCATATGTAATATACCATTAAATACACACCAAAGTAACACATATTATGACATTGAAAAACTTACCTAATAAATTATTTTAATATTATTTATTAAATATGTATGCATTTGGTTATAGGTTTAACCAGCTAACCATTTTAAGTTAAAATACAATCATAAATACATTTAGCCTAATATCTGTCTAAATAACAATTTGAAAGTGTTGCATCTTGCATAATCCAACCACAACGTTCACAATCGCGAATGTTATAAAAGAAAATGAAGATTGCAATTATAACTTTAAAGTCATAGTAGAAGTTTCCTCCTTAGATCCAATTATGATATTTTGTTCTAAGTAGCCCATATCATGAATTATGCTATTGCTATTTGGCTATTTAAAATTGTTTTGACATTAGATAATGTTAATGGTGAGTCATTGGCATACATAAATAATTTACAGTTTTGAGGGATACAACGTGGTAAATCGCTTGTGTATCATTAAACAATTAACACTAGTAGGCCTGGACCCATTGATCTGTGTGGTAGGATTACTTTAGTGTTTAATGGAAGGAGCTTCTATATTTAACCACTCAAATTCATAGACTGACTACGATGTAAACCAATTTATTGACATAGTCATACTTTTATGTTTGTCCAGTAACGCTTTACTTAATAAAAGCTGTACCGGTCATTTCTCCACGTTCTATTGTCTGAGAAACTCATTGGTAACAATAGCGTACAGTACTTTCTGTAGAATGTAAAGGCCAATACCCTGATTGATAGCAAGGAGTAGGGTTATTTTTTTTTTTATCGAAGTATGAATGAACTACCGAGGTGGGGTGGTAAACGTTACAGTTTTTTTTTTATTATTTCACATTTCATGGAAACATTGCATTGCTGTCAAATTCATATTCACGCGGGGTGTCATTATTAGCTATCACAATCTCTGATTGTGGAAAATTTTACTTAATTAATTATGTCAACACGTGTGATCATCGAAATGTTCTATATTTTAGGAAAATAGAATGTGGGGCTACTTTCTGTGGAATGTAAAGACCTAAACCCTGATTGATAGTGAGGGCTATTCTTATTGAAGTATGAATCAACTACCAAGGTGGGGTGGCAAACATTACTGTTCTTTTTTATTTCACATTTCATGGAAACATTACATATTGCTGTCAAATTCATATTCACGCGGCGTGGCATTAGCTATCACGATCTATGATTGTGAAAAAATTTAATTAATTATGTCAACATGCAGAGCTCCGAAATGTTCTCCATTTTAGGAAAAATAAAATGAGGGGTATCATTTGTGTTGTTAGGAAGAACCTCTTTTAAACTTAATTTTCCACTAAAAAAAAAATGAGTCGCCTTTATTTTCTTCGATGGTTGTTGTAAAGTATTCACCTTTTTGTACGGATTTAATTTTTAGTAACCGTGTTTTGCATAGGCTCAATAAACCAAATAATGAATGTTTCCTATGGGATAAATTATTCCCATTAGGCCTATGTGAACGAATATTCCATTTTACACACTACTCATTCTTGAAAGGAAAATCGACCTCCCACCTCAGAAATTCCATTTCCACTTACTGTAAGTATTGTCTATTTTCTTGGGCATGTATATGAGACGCCAAGTTCGGCATCATACTAACATTAATAATAATTCCTGATAAAGTAACATCAATACGCACAATTTAGTCAAATCGCACCTTATTCCTTCGTACGAATGAACAGGGCTTCCAACAATAGCATAACATTGACAATTGATGTCAGTCAATGATAATTACGATTAATTAATGTGGAAAATTCTTTCGACTGAAGTTTGGTAGAAGAATTTCGATATGATTCGATATACCTCTTAATTCAAGAGTTCCATTTACAATTGTTTGTTTTATTATAACTTTTAAGGTGTTTTTGGCACGTACGCCTAATATATAAAGGTCTTGGTGCCTAAATCCTGAATCTGTTATCGGTAATTATTTCGGTCATTATGTACGGACACATAATTAACGCAAATAGGCCTACTTTAAACACAGTAGTGGTGACCGGCCAATTGGACATTTTTCAGATGTTACTTATAATATTTTTCATGATAGTGAATGGGCCTAAAACATGCCTCTGTTGATCTGTTGTCAACACTTATGCTAAGCAACATTTAGCAGATAGGCCTATCTAGGCCCCTACTTGAAAATAACTGGTATGAAATTACAACTTACCAAATACTCCCTATCAGTTTCTTCATTGTTCAGCCTGTACGCTCCACAAGACGACAGTAATACCGCACTCAAAATAGCTACGCCTGATACAACACCTTTAAGCGCCATGATAGCAGCTAACTCAAAAGAAGTCAAACAGAATGTAGCTCGCCTGAAAAATAAACCTGACTTTAATTGTGGACTTCATGGTTCAGCAATCATATCTTGTATACACAGTACTCTAAAGTCTTTTTATTCTTTTCAATGCGGCTACGTAGGAGTGAAGTGAATGACAATACTTTCAGCTTTTACACCTTTTGTTAGATATTCCATAGATTTAGTATTTTTTAATTCAGTAACCTTGCCTTACGATCCACCCTTTGACGTACCAAAAAAATACAAAGGCTATGGTAATTGTAAATCTATATGCATTGTATTTTCTTTTATTTCCGTATAGCTGGTTGTGATGTTCGAATAGAATACTTATAGTAACTTCATGTTTTTAATGACTTTTTAGGTCAAATACAGTTGCACACTGTGGGTAGGCATACTCCATGTGAACGTCGGTGGCACTGTATAAATGCTTGCATTTCTTTTATGTCCCTATGATGATGTTTAAATAGAAAAAATGTGCAATTTGTTGTAATGACTTTTAGGTGGAATATGAGGCAGCGTAGGAATACTCCAGGGAGGCTGTGAACGTCGGTGGTACTTGGGTCTCTTTTTGCTATAGTGGGCAACATGAATCATAGTAGAACTCAGTGGTGCCGCCAGATTGCTCTGATGAGGAGAGAGGGGGGAGGGGGGCTGGAGGTGGGGCAGTCTGGAGTCCGACGAGAGCGTCATGGGGTTTTCCCCAGGAATTATGACAATTGAGGGCTTTCAAAAGCCTATTAATTAATCTAGCAATTGAATATATAAGAAATATATGTCTCTCGACGAACCTAGCGCTTTTTCTCCCTGACCAGTGTGGGAGCAACTCTCCGCGACGGGGTCCTAATGTATATATCTCTCGACGGATTAAGTTTTTTCTCCCTGATCAGTGTGGGGGCACTCCGACGGGGGCCCACTGGAGCAAACCCTGGTAGAACCTTTGGGAAATCCCTATTAAAGGGACAGTTTACCTTAAAACGAATATGAAAACTAGTCTACTAACCAAATTATTAAGGGGACATCTCTTTTAAGGGGACGGGACACTTTCTGACTGTGCCAAATGGTCAATTTAACACATATTCCACCCTAAGGGAACATTAATTTTGTTTTATCCTATCGATTACGACAAATTTAATAGAATACCGTAAAACCTCGAACTGAAGCCCAATGGGCTTAATCTCGACCCGTGAAGCCCATCTCGAATCGAAGCCCCCTCTTTATTTTGCAAAATAAGCCTCGAAAAGAAGCCCATGGGCTTCTTAACAAGATAGCATAGGCCTCTTTTCGAAAGATAGTACGTGTCACACTGTACATGAATTAAAAAAAAACTAAATAAATGAAAAACCAGCTTAGTTTATACAGTAGTTTATGTGATTTAATGCCAGTTAAATATACTATATGATATTATTTGATGTTACCGTGGCCTTATTTATTCATCATAGTACAAATTCACAAAATTTACAGCAATCATTTTGAAAAAATACAAAAATGTAATAAAAGCGGGTGAAACCCCAACAAAAGAAAGAAAAAAAAAAACAAAAACAAAAACCGAAAACAAAAAAGCAATGAGAAAATTAAGACACGTGGGTTCATCTCAAGGGACAATGAAAAATAAATCGATAAAACACTCTAGAACATTAAAAAATAGTCGTACGTATGGAATAATTAAGTCGTGCGTAGTTTTTCTTCGTGATTTAATACTGGAATTGTTTTTCAAGGCAACAGCTACAAGTTGAAAAAGAAGGTGGGTTTGGGGTTCGCCCCCCCCCCCCCCAAAAAAATCTTTGCTTTATGTCTGGAAATTTACTCTTCTGAATCCTCTGTTAACTTAGTATTTTCTGTGTGATATTTATTATACTGTATTACTTACGAATAGACCTAAAGAAGTCTAAACTTTGGAAAATTAGGCGATATTGAGGGTGGGTGGTCTGAGGGCCTTACGCCCAATACCAGAAACGTGATATTCTGGTATTGAGAGACTTGTAAATGAAAACCCTATAAATTAAGTTTTTAACTGTATAATATTTAATTTCATTACAAATTTTCGGATACCCTTGATCGAGTTGAATAGCTTGGTGGTTAAGATGCTTGCTTTCCAATCAATGGTTATGGGTTCAATGTCTATAACAATTAAGCATGATTTTTCTCACGACTAGAACAAAAGCATCATTATGATGCCCCAATTTGAAGTGTTACTATTATGGGTCTAAGAAGCCCCATTAAGTAGATTAATAATAGCATTTAAAAAAAAACAAAGAAAGTCAGCAAATTGACATTCAAAACACTGACATGAATACATGGGCGTAGACCACCAGTCTTCAGAAGTTAAAACTCCACTTTCCAAAGCGAGTGGGAATTAACAACAATTACGAATAACACTCATGAGTTTGTTCCAATTTTTTCTGTGCGCATTTATAGAGAAAACCGGGTAAGAAGAATGGTTTGCGTGTCGATCTATTTCGACTTATGGTACCACGATTTTACGAACAACTCCGATGTTACGTTCACTTAGTTTCGCCGTTGACGACATGATAAATTAAGTATTTTCTGTACCTTATGTTAACATTCACCTTCATGTTTGTGAAATAAAAATGTTCCATTACTATCACGTTTAAACTAATGTTTATGTGTGCTTCCTATCTCCCTCGTAGTCTCGTTTTATCGTAAATTAAATGGTACATATATTTCTCAGTAGTGTGGTTGCAAGTTACAAAAAATAAGTTAAAAAGAGGAGACAACTGTTACACTGTTACTGGGCATTTATAATGCGCCTTGTTGCAAAGCGCAACCCAAGTTTTCTCGTGATTTCAATTATTTTGAGCAACCGATCAGTTTCAGAAAAAAAAACCATCTCATACCACACAACAAAATGTGATACTGTACTTTAAAATTTTGAAAAATAATGGAGAAAACCATTCAAGTCAACCATAAACTTTAGAAGTATTGTTGCTGTTGTCATTAAAGGAAACTATCTTGGTTGATTTTTCGTTTCAAGTTCTTCAGGCCTATTTTTTTTTCATGGTTGGAAAACATTTAACATGGGCTATTCAAAATAACATTATTATTTTTATGAATGTTACAGTAGCTTGCACAAAAATGTAAGTGGACATGATTATATTAGACCAAATAAAAAAAATACTAGTCCCTTCTCGCATTAATTTTCTCTGCCTCACGATTTTTTTTTAATTCCTTTATTTTACGAAATAAAACTCACATGAGTAATATTCCTCTTTTGATCGTTCGTGGTTTTGGGAATACATAGTCTATTATAGTATGAATCATGTCTAGCGCTTCTTTTATTCGTTTTCAATGTGTCTACTTGGTAAAAGTGAGAAAGTAATACCTGTTTCCCATCGACCATCTTGGATTTGCCATCTTGGGATACAGGCCCGACCCAGGTTTTTCCTAGGGGGTTTTTCTGGGCGTGAGGTCCACAGTCGAGCCCCGGTGGGGTCGGCGAAACCCCCAAAGCAAGAGGATTTTTGTGCTATTGGGTCAAATAATGCTATAAAAGCAGATAGGCATATGTTTAAAAAATTTTTGTGTCTGGGTGGGGCTGCAGTGCATTAGTTGGGTTGGAGGACTTATTTAGGAAATTTAAAGAGGGGGTTTCGCCAGAAAAGAGGAGGGGAAATATATGTTGTAAAATCTATTTTTCGGGGCCTTCACCCCTGGGTCCCTAGGAGGTTCTGGCAACCTTTGCTACCGGTAACGCCTAATAATTTGATTTTAATAACAGCAAAAATTCCCGTGGTACAATTTAAATATTATAATGCTCTTTTTAATGTTCTTTTATTGTCTTTAAATAGTTTATATTTTGTCTAAATGTCTCTTTGTATTAGAATAAGTAGTGTTTTATATGTATCTTTGTATTTGTAAAAATGTTAATATTTTTTAGCTTGTACTGTTAAACAATTTAAAAAAATGTTAACTTTGATAAAGAATTTTAATGTATATTGTAATATCACATGCAATTAATTAATTTTACTGCAATTTGTGATCTAAATAAACTGAAGCAAAGTCACGTTGATAGCCCTGAATATACTGAGAAGATATATTTGTATGAAAGGGTTTATAATAATGCAAAAGGCAATAGGTCATAAGTAGTTATGTGAACATTTTATTATATTTCTGATTAATCATCTAACATTACAGTAATGTAGGTATAAATTTAATTTAATTATATAAAAATGGTATACCATTTTAAATGGTTACAAAATCTTTAGCGTTTTGTATATGAATTTTGTATTTTTTGTTGTTGATTGGTCATATGCCTGCATTCCCCCAATCTCCTTTCTGGATCCCAACACTGATCAGGCCTGACACTGATCAGATAAATAATTCAACCAACTGACTTCAAAATATACCATTGTATTCTAGCATTTCAAACAAATCAGTGCAGATAAAATGATCAGATGATATACAGTACAAAGAAAAAAAAACCATGATTTAAATTCTCATTTACTAATACACCCTCCTTGCTAATTTAATCTATCAAGTAGTATATTTTCTCTTGGAAAAACATATTTACTATTCAAATTTTGAAATAATCCACTTGAGTGATTTATGGAATATATTCACCTCATTATTTACTTACCATATCATTGATTACCATATTAAACATAAAAAGACAACCTTTTTGTACTGATATTTCTATGCAAGGTTGTAATTTACTATTGGATCGTTCTTGCTTGCATTTCATATTGCTGTACTAAAATAAAAAAAATAATAAAAAACTAGTTGTCAAAGAGCTTCCAAATACCAAAGCAGGTCACAGTTGGTGTGCTGGTATTATGCTGCCAAACTTTTACAAAGTTATTCATGAATTGTGACACAATAAGCTAATAGTATGTCGATATTCATATTTATAATCCCTTTTTAAATACATGACCATTCCGAGCTTACCCTTCTGAGAATGCTGTGTTGCAGTATGAAAATACTAACAGTAAAACTAATCAATCACTTGCAACAAATGTGTACATTTTAAATACTTCAACTTGTAAAGTGAACTTTTTATTATCTTTGTTAAATTTTGTAC